AAAAAAAGCAATATTATTTAAAGATTCCATTATGGATATCTACCAATGAAGCTTTTTCCTATCCAATAATATACTGTATAAAAAGGAACAAACAGTTAGATATGGTGAGATATTGAATGAAAAGGGTTAACTTAAATCTATGCAAGCGTTGGAGAAACAAGGTATAAAAATGAATTGGTTTTCATATTTGCAAATACAATGTAGATTTGATAAAGATATTAAATTAGAAGGTATTTATGATAAGTTGACTGATTTAGGTAAAATCTTGATAGGTACTGATGAAAACGTAATTAAAAAACTTTATGGACATTTACTAGAATTTAAATTGGAGGAGGAGCAAGTTAAAGAAATGATAATTGCTTGGGGGGGGGATTTTGGATATGGGATTGATTTAGAGAAATGGCAAAAATTGTGGTCTCAAAATTATAAAATGACAATGTCAACTGCTTACAAAGAAAATTTGTATAAGATGTTTTACATGTGGCACTTACCCCCGACGAGAATTGCCAGAATGCTTAAGGATAAATCGGATAAATGTTGGAAATGTCATCAGATACCTGGTTCTTATTACCATATGTGGTGGACGTGCTTGAATGCAAAAAGATATTGGACTAAAATCCACACATGGTTGGAAAAAATGATGAAATAACATATAGATTTTAAGCCAGAGATATTTTTATTGGGAATTATACCGGAAATGTACAATAAAGAATTGAAATATTTGATTGTAAATGTTTTGACAGCGGCTAAGATTGTATTTGCTAAGAGTTGGAAAAATGAAAAAATATCTATGCAGGAGGAAGTTATTAAGAAAATTATGGACTGTGCTGAAATGAGTAAATTGACATTTGAAATCACAGAACAAGAAGATAAACAATTGTACATGAGATGGGATTTGTTTTATCAATGGTTGGATAAAAAGACATGATAATGTAATAGACTAGGAATTTTGTAACAGAAGTTTAATAGATTGATATAAAATATAATACAAATATATATATAAAACCATTGGATGAAAGGGTAATACAAATTTTATAATAAAATCTAGAATATCTCGTATAAATGATGGAATAAATAGTTTAGTCATGAATGTAATCAGTAATAACTGATAAATATATAAGCATATGTTAGATTGACAATGTGAGAATTTATATAAACTGTGATGACTACGAAAGGATAGCACAAAAGATTTGTAACCAAATGACACACTGTATGTATATAAAATGGAAAATGGTTTTATGTTTTTTTATGTATTGTTTATACATGTTTGTCTCAAAAAATAAAAATCTTTTTTTTTAAAAAAAACTAATTCATTTTTATACCTTGTTCTTCCAGCACTTGCATAGATTTAAGTTCACCCTCTTCATTCAGTATTTCACCATATCTAATTGTTTGTTCCTTTTTATATGTTATTGGATAAGAAAAAGCTTCATTAGTAGATATCCATAATGGAATTTTTAAGTAATATTGCTTTTTTTTAATCTTCTCCCAGTTTAAAAACAATGCCTCTCGAATATAATCAGGAGTGGGATTCTACCAGTTCGCACCTATTCACTAGAACCGATTGTTAACATTCTAAGCAGTTCAGAGAACAGGTTGTTAGAAGAAATTACTGGCCTAATCCTGTAAGGAAGGCAGGAAAGAAACTTTCTGGTGTTGCTTACAGAAACTGCCTCTCCATTAACCCTTATTACATTCTTGGCAGGACTAGACTTCCTGTCTCAGGAACATCTCTGGAATTTTTTTCTCCTCCTTTGCTGGTACTTTGCTTGTGTGGAGTGACCATTCAAAGTTACAATGGCACTGAAAAAAGTGACTTATGACCATTTTTCACACTTACGACTGTTGCAGCATCCCCACAGTCATGAGAGGCCAGGCGAGGAGATGCGTGCCTCGATGTGAGTGATATTGAGTTGGCCACGCCCAGCCAATAACATGAGCACCAAGCCACACACCCCAACTAAGCCATGCCCACAGAACCAGTTGTTAAAAAATTTGAATCCCACCCCTGAATATAATGTCTTCTAAAATACCCCTGTAAAATACCCCTAAAATACCCAAGAAAATCATGCCATCTCAACAGCAAGTCATGTCCTTCTAGGGTCAATAATCTACTGTTCCTTAATGTTATCCATTCCTTTACCCACATCAAATTAGTCGCCTGATGATCTAATTCCCAATTGGGCAAAGCGAATCGTCCTCTTATTCTTGCATCTTGTAACAGTTTAAGTTTTATTCTCGCTTTCTTTCCCTGGACAGCACAATATTGATGTAGGCACTATGGGAAAAGAGGCTGGGTGGCACAGGTGGTATTTTCCTTTTGCAAATGAATGCATTCACATCTGTTAAAAATCAACGTTGTCCATTGCTCTTAAAAGAGATAAGCCAGTGCAGAGGTGTCTTATAGGAAGCAGAGAAATAGTTGTTTAAGAGATATCATGCTAAATCTGCATTCAGAGGGGATTTAGTGATTAAGGTGCTGGTCTAGAAACTGGGTGACAAAGAATTCTACTCCCAGGTTAGGCATGACAGCCAGCTGGGTAACTTTGATCCAATCACCAGGAAATTGTGGGTTCTACTAGTACCACCTTAAGGATGAAAGCCAGCTGAATGACTTTAAACCTCTTTCAGCCCAAACCACCTCACAGGTTTGTTGTTGTAAAGGGAAAAAGAGGAGTGTCAACCCTGAAGCTCGCCTGGCCGAAGCCATCTTGGAGCTTCAGTGTTGCCACACTGGAACTGAGGGATAGGGAGTGGGGATTAGAGATAGCTGGGCTTTTATAGTCAAAATAAAATACTTTCTCATGGGAACTAAGGACATTCTCACAACTGGTCGGAGGAAGGAGGAGTGATGTCACCAGATCAGTGGATGCTGCACTGATTGAACCATGTGACTGATTGTTTGAGATGGGGGGAACTTTCACTTTTAATTAGATACGTGCCAAAATGATATTTCCAATAAAGCTATTCCTTGAGGAATCTATCTACCTCAGGGTTTTGCTTGTCTGTTACTTGGAACCCTGACAAGAAAGAAGTTATTTTATATCTCACCTTTATTATTTTTTTACAAATAAGACAGTGAGCATACTCGTTGCCTTGAATTACATGTAAAGCAACAAAGGTGAGATAAAAGCCTACAAATATAATAAATGATGGAAGCTCCAATTGCACGAATGATGCCACATTACTTTTGAATATGCAATGAGTTGCCATTTTTACTTAATCCTTATGTCCCCCTCCCACTCAATGACCCTGGAGGGCTACAATTCCTTACCTCTCACACCAGAGTACAGGATATGGGAACAAGGAAATCCTGTAATGGTTCAGCAGAAGCAACCCAGCTCCATTTTGGTGACCTGTGAATTATAATTCTATTGGCTGCATATGCCTATATCCTGAATAATTAATTGCACAGGTGATTTCACCTAACCTGCCAGGTTAACTAGTCTGAAATACAGCTCAGCTGAAGATGGTTGGGGCCCCTTGTTGGATATACTTGTCTTTATTTTGAGGTTGTTTGCCAAATTTATCATTTTGTTTTCTACCTACTCTATTTTCATTCATGACGTTTGAGCTGTGAGTTACTCAGAGCTGCCTGGATGGAAATAAATAAATAGTCTCTGGTTGATTGGTATGTAATAGGCAGACAGTCAATGTCAATTTCAGATTCCCTTAGGAATCTCAGCAGGTGGTAGCCCCTAGCCATCCATGTCTAGACAGAAGCTAAACCTGGTTAGATTGAGATGTCCAAAACCTCCAAAGGACCAGTGGGAACAAATCCTTTTCATAAAGTTATGAGAAAACTGCACGTGTCCATGTAATAACAATGAGTCAACCTTGACTCAATGGCCCATTCCTTTAAAGCAGGAGTGTCAATCCTTGAAACTCTGTAGATTTCAATTTTCAGAATTCCTCAGCCACAGCACTGACTGTGGAATTCTGGGAGCTGAAGTCCATAGGTCTTAAAGCTGCAAAGGTTGGACACCCCTGCTTTATGCAGTAATTAATTAGGGGATCACATATTGTACTATGCCATTAAATGATGTGCTTAGTCTTGGCATAGACTCTATGCCAAGACCAAGGCTGGCTGGGGAATTCTGGAAGCTGAAGTCCAAACATTCTTAAAGTTGCCAAGGTTGAGAAATGCTGGCATGCAGTAGAGGAATGTGTAAACCCAGTCAATGGTGGTTCATTCCAGAAATGGTTAAATCATGGTTTACTGTGATATTAAGCAGTATGTGCTTAGAGCTCAAAGCATTGTTAGAAACCACGCACAACCATTTTACAATCTGTTTCTGTTGCTCCCCTCTGGGAGGAGGGTTCAAAGTATTTCTAGCAGGACTACCAGATTCTGTAAAGGCTTTGTCCCTTATGCCATTTGTCTGGTAAAGTCGCAAGATTTGTTTTTCTCACCATGTACATGTATACATCCGAACTAGACTGTTGTTTCTCTATGTCATATAAATAATGCATATGGGTATATGCATAATTTTGTATTTATTTGTCATGTTTATCTAGTGTATATTGGACGTGGTGACCCTTTGAGAGCTGTATGTAGCAAAGTTTTATTTTAATGTATGCCGATTAATGTACATTCAAAGTGACAATAAAGTTATTCTAAGTCTCTCCGTCTATGTTAACCAGTGCTTAGATCACCTTCTCCAAAGCATGGCTAGGTAAGGTGGAAAATCATAACTGGACAAACGAAGGGGTGTCACCACTTTCTCTCAAAGGCACAACAGGTGACCACAGCCCTCGCTATGAGGGACCCATAACTATGCTCGCCGTTCCTGGTGTCCCCTTCTCGTGACGAGCCAGTAGCACTAGGACCCAGGAGCCGCTCTTGAATGTAAGAATCGTGCTCTCCGCCGAGTCCCTCGGCTGGGTCCGAGTGCCTCCCGGATGCCCAGCTAAGACCAGCCAACCTCTTTTGTTCTGCAGCGGCCGGGCTGAGAGGCTTTCCAGCAGACGCTCATCTCTTCCACACCCGCTGCCGGCCCATTGAAACCCTCCACTGCCGCAGATCACAATGCAAAACAGGTATTAGCTGCCCCTCGGGTCCTCTGGCTGGGATGGGTAGCGTCCTTCCTTTCAGCCGGCGTAGCCCAAAACAGAATTGCGGGGTGGGGGACTTAAAGCTTTGACCGCTTATCCGCAGGCTGGGGGCGCAAGGAGGAAGGGAAGAGTGATGTTAGATATTTGTGATGGAAGAGAAATGGTCTCGTGGCTCTGAATCCTCTGCTTTTGGTGACACTGTTGGAAGAATAAGGGATAGAGGGAAAAATAGATTCCTCTTTAAAAAGTAAAACACAATTTTAATAGGACATTTCTCCCTTTTACGGGATGCCACAGATCAGGATTGCTTGGAAATCTTCTCCTGTTTACATCCGCATGCTTTTTAAATCTGTTTGTCTTGTCACTGAGTCGCAGGTGCTTCAGGACTGGCTTGTGCTATTCCAACTGGCAACGGAAAGGGCATTCAGCACATGCCCAGAGGTGCTCTCTCCTCTGTAATGAGAAAAAAAACCCAAGACAACACTGGGGGCCTTCCAGAATTTCTTGGAAAATCTAAAAAAAAGTATTGGTTCAATTGTTACAAGGGCTCAGTTTGGGTTAAGCAATGAAAGTGAGTATTTTGCTACAGCTGTGACAGAAGCTTGATCTCATGATTTTAGCTGAAAGTAGTGCATGCGTTCCTTGCCTTTTCCAATGTAGGAAAAATGTAGCTTGGCAGATTGTGAACAAAAATGTATTTGATGGTGCAAAGTGGAAGAGGCTTGCTTGTTCAAAATTACACTGACTGCAATATTTGCAACCTGTGTTCCCTATTTTCATTTTTTCACTATCTTTGCCTGCCCACATTAGTATTTCTAGTAATGGATGCTGCAGGACTTTAGTGTGTGCTCCTTTAGAAAAGTGCAAAGGAATGGATTGCACAACTTCACAGCATGATTTAACATTAATCACCTAGAATTAAGACACAGTTTTTTTAATTCTTAAAGTGACAGAAATGTTCAAAATTAAGTGTTAAATGTGACAGATTTCAAATTGAATGCAGCTCACAATTCTAGGCTGTATTTCAGTACAAGCATCTGAAGTTATTAACAGATAAAGACTGTAAAAATGCATATCCTGTTTTTCCTTTAAAAGCTCAAGTTGGTGCAAAGAGAAGTCTTCTATTTTACTTTCACAATAAGATAGTTATTGGCCCAAACTCAAAGATAGTTATTGGCCCAAACTCTCCTAAGCTTCAATCCAGCATTTATTATATTACTAAACATGTACACTGCTGATATTCTAGTTGAGGGCAGGAAAGGTGGCTGTTTGAAATTAGACTTCAAAGCAGAAGGAACTTTAAACTTGACCCTTTGATTTAGCCTCTGATTAGAGTTTTGAGAGGCATCTGCTATGTACAAGGACTAGATTTAAATAATGCAAAGACCAGATAAACCAGAGAACCTTTGCAAAAGACACCATTTGCTATTTGGGAAGAGTTGGTACCCTCCAAACGTTTCCCAGAATTACAGCTTTCAAGAATTAGGACACACATTTAATATCTACATCACTATAGCATCTGTAAACTACTATATTCTACTTGCAAACGTGTGGTCTGTTTTGTAGAGTATAATGTGTACACAAGCTCTGCAGTGTAAAGAGAAGAAAGCCAGGATTATAGAAATATATTTTGCAAATTGCCTCTATTCCTGCCTCTGGATGATGAGGCTCGTCATACTTGCATTTTACTTGAAGTCCTCTCTGCTCCTCTTCCTTGTGGTTAACACAGTTTAGATCCTCACTTTACCCAAAAGTAAACTTCAAAAAGGGAGAAGAATCAACCATTTTCTTGTACAAACTGATTATGAAAATGATAATTCAAAATTATGGTACAAATGTTATGCTTCATCAAATCAGCCCTGGTTCTTGGAGAATACAAGAAAAAGTATTGCACTTTTCTTAGTAAATATTTTTTTCTGAAGTGGTTTGCCAGTATTTTTTTCCCAATGTTGGGAGACAAAGACTGGCCCAAAGTCACCCAGCTGGCTTTCATGCCTGAAGTAGGACTAGTCTAATCTAGTACATTTAACCACTACTGTTCTCCAGATTAGCTTCTGTGATAAACAAAATATTTATTGTGAGTATAGTAACAAATCACAGATGTTCATTTAAATATCTTGCATTCCCATGTGCTGCAGGTGCTTTCAGCTTATAAGGCAAATATTCACACACAGATATTTGCATTTACAAGAAAATATCTGAACACATAATACTGGGCAGTTGTATCCATGCTTGTATTGCCATGCCAACAGTTTTCTAGATATTTTGAAAGAACTCTACATATAAATAATACAAGATTTAGTTTTTATTTTAACTCATGGAGCAAGCATCATACCACAAAAAGGCTAAAGAATTTTTAGTTTACAAAGCATGACCTGGCAGCGTTTTGAGCAAGTTTTACCTGAAATTAAATCCCACTGAGCCTTAGTTAAATTTGGTATTACTGGGCTCTTAGCTGCTTTGGTGTTTTTTTTCCACTTTAATTCTTGATGGATTATTTTGAATGTATTCTCATGAAAGTGTGTTAAAGTGATTGTGTGTATTTCATGGGTGGGCGTACTTCCTCATAGTTCTTACTATTCTCCCATTTCTGCAGAGATGTCCCTGTAGCTGATTGTACTCTTGTTCCTGGTGCCCAATGGAGCTATCTCACAGGTGGCATGTCAGCAGGGGTGATGGGCATCCAGCGGAGCTGCAGGCAGAAGCTCAGGTATTGGTGCCAGGAGAGAGTAGTTGGCCAAGACTGGAAAACCATGGTGGCAACAGGCCTGAGAACCAGGTGATAGAAAGTTGCCCTCCAGCACCTTGGGACCATTATACGCAGGCCTCACTCAGCATTGATGTCACGCAGCACCAAGTGGCTACCGAAGACAGGCCGCCTGAGATCTACAGCATTGCTCTGTGGGGTCCCAAGCTGCATTCTGCACTGACTAGACACAGGGGAGGAAGGTCGAATGCACAAGCCTCTGCTCCAAACTCTAAGCACCTGGGCCCAGCAGGAGAAGGAGATGCCACTGATGAGGGATCCCTGGTGCTGATTGATGCAGAAGGGGTGCCTCACACTGTGTCACGAGAGGAAGTGGAGCTGGCTGGACAAATGCAGTCTTCGGGGCCTGAGTTGCTGGCTTCCGCTCCACCACCACGACAGCTGTATTTCTGCCCCATTTGCCTGCGGACATTCCTCTACCAGTCTGACCTGGAGCGCCACAGCATCACCCACTCGGAGAGCAAGCCGTACATATGCCGTGAGTGTGGAAAGGCCTTCAAGCGTTCCTCCCACCTTCAGCGGCACAAGCACATCCACACCGGTGAGCGGCCCTTCAGCTGCCCCGTCTGCTGCAAGGGTTTCCGGGAATCTGGTGAATTGTTGCGTCACCAGCGGGTCCATACTGGGGAGAAGCCCTATCAATGCCAGATCTGTCGACTGCGCTTTACAGAACGGAATACCCTCCGCCGGCATGCCAAGCGCAAACATGCCCGTGAGACCTACTATCAGCGCTCTGTGGAGGAAGGAGGGGGCAGTTGGACTACGGAGGGGGATTGGGAATCAGAAGTGGTAGTGGGAAGTGGGGACTGGGCCACAGAGGAGCTTGGGAGCGGCTGGAGCAGTGAACCAGTGGAAGACTGGGTTGAGGGTGGGAATCATTGGAGGGAAGCTTCAGAAAGGCAGGTGGGAAGCCTGCCTGGAGCCATGACACAGATATTACAGATGGAGCACATCAAAGATAAAGACAAACCTGAGATTCAACCCCCGTAAACATGCAGAAGTAGGGGAGACAGACCAGGATAGTGAAGGATATGCAAATAAGTTTGTTCTGCAGTTATCTGTTGGATTGAAACATTTTCTCTGTAAGAAGGACATGAAACTAAAGGAAGTATCTTCTAGAACTGTTCTACAGTGTTAAAGCCCTTCATAGCACTGTATGGGCATCACCAAAGACTAGAGAAGGCTACTAGTGGCAGGGAATCAAGGCTGCCCCTGTTCAACAATTGTACCACGATATCCAGAGCTGCTATGAAGAAAGGGGAACATTTCATGTTTTTAATTCTTTCGTAGGTGGAAATGAAATTGAGAATACTGTTTTCTTAAATTTCCTGTGCTTTCCTGAAGAATTGGTACAGAGAGAGTTATGTTCCTCTCACAGTTGTACCAAACACAATATTGATACATGATGATCCTCTGTAAAATGAATTGCCCGCCCTACACAGCTGAGCTGCTATTTGTTTTGTTTTCCATATCGATGCAATGGGGGATATTCCATTTGCAAACACTTTAATGAATTAACATATGCAAAACGGTGCTGCCTTTTTTCCTTTCTTCATATTCCACTTAATCAAAGTGAGGGATTTAGACCGCTCTCTCTCCACTCTCAATAGCCTATAGCTATAGCTTGGGCCTAGAACAGCTTTCCTAACCTTGTGTCCTCTGAAATTATCCACTTCAATTTCCATACTTCTTCCAGTGATTTTGGCAGATTTTAGGAAGGTTAAAGTAGAGCTTGAGAGAGCAAGAAAAAATAAACCTGGATACACATGTGGCTGTCAAACTTTTGTTCATGGACAGGATAAGAGTCAGCTTGCATCCTTTTGAAAAACTGAGGAATTAAAAGGAAATACAAGATGAAATATTCTGCACCCAGGCATACCTTCCTTGTAAAGAAGTCTTTTCTCTGCAGCTGGATCTTTACACAAACTTCGAATTCACTGAAATCAATCAGAATCACTTTTAAATAACTGTTTTCACCTGATCCAGAATGATGGTATTGAGGCAAAGAATGAGCAAGGCAGTTGTTAGCACTTCAATGGAAACACTAATTTATATTGTTGTGTCTCATCCTAAAGAGATCTGAAAGACAGTGTTATGAATTCCTAGACTAGCTCTTTCACAGAATTGTATTTCCAGGGTTCCTTGAAAGAAAACAGGAAGCTAATTGTTTTTCAAAGCTGTCACAAGCTGCGGGATTCTCAATATTTTGATTGTAAATAATATTTACATTTTATGTAATGGGAAAGATTGGGGTATTATTTGCTGAATAATATTTGCAATCAAAAATTTTGAGAATCTCACAGTTTGTGGCAGCTTTGCACTACAAATAGCTCCTTATTCCCCCTCAAAGAACCCTGGAAATCTTCTCTATAATGTTTAGTTTTAAAGTCAAGCAAATTAAAAAGAAGCCAGAGGCTGTAAGTGTACATGCACATTCTTTGTTATGTAAAAACTGAAAAATAAGGGCTGTCTGGCTATTTCAGATAATTTCTGTCACTGGTCCAATCATGAAGTAACAGTAAAGAAATAAAAATAATGATGGAAGTGTTTTGACTTTGGTCAAAATATACTTATGGCTTCCTGGACCAAATATATGTTTCAAAATGCCACTTTCATGAAACTATGTGCATGCTACTCATGACAAGAGATCAGCACTGTGTCTCCAAGTGTAGGATCTTAGTCTTTCTGAGAGAGAGTTGGACTCTTCTATTAAAAGCACTAGGGTTTTGATACAAGAAAAAGGCAATTTCTGCAAAATAGAGACAAGAATACATTGAATCACGAAACCTGTATATGTGCTTGGTAATGCAAATGATCTGCAATATTTTTCTAAAGGATAGGTTCTCCTTCTAAGGCTTGCATTTCATAGACTCAAATCCGCCCATGCATAATACTGAACAGCAAACATTCCTGTATGCAAGATCAGGCAGATATTGTCTGTATTATTTGATTAGATATGGTTGCTACTATTTTCTGCTACTATTCTTTGTGGGCAATCCTACTTACAGGCTGAGCCTCTATTTTATCTATAGATGTGTGTTGTTCATGCCAATGTTTTTTCCTTTTTTTTTTTTTACACCTAAACAGTAATACGTGCAGGAACAACTTGAGTTGAACTTGTGTGCTATTTGTTCAACATTACAAGCCATTTCTTTGCAGTGGCTCTGGTGATTCCATTTCCTCAGCACGGCAAAGCATTTCATATTATGGTTTGCTGAAAACAGAGTGACAGCCTAATTCATAATGTGAACCACAAATGCTTCATAACGCAGAATGACTGTCAGAAAGATTTAGGTTATGTTCAAATGCTTGTCTGAAATAGACCTAGAATGATGATAAAGGAGGAGTTATAGGAGTTGGGGTGGATACATGTAACATCAAACAAATGTCCTTTTTACATTTCCAAAACTCCTAACTACTTCTTGTACCAAAAGCTGAAAATACAGAGCAGGAGAATTCTGTACAAATAAGCTTCTCAAAAACAAGTGTGTGTGTGTCTGTCATCGCATAAGAGTACCTCAGATTAGCAAATTCAAATGAGCCATGCATCTTATCTATTCACAAAAAGGTCTCTCATCTTTCCATTTTGTGAGGAGGGCTCAACCCATGTCCTTGTGTATAAAACATCAAGATTTTAATAGTACTGATTATGTTAGCAGTTCCTATGCTCTCAAGGCCATTTCTATTCTTTGCATAGGTTATGGTACGAAGTGTGTGTAAATTCCCTCTGTGCGAAATTACACTACTTTACATTCAACCACAAGGAGTTGTATTTGGCACTGGCACCTTACTCTGCAACCAGTAAATAAGGCACATGAATTGTTCAGATTTCCTAGCACTGAACATATAAAAGCTCAATTCCTTGATTGTTTTTTGGGGCTAGTTCCACCAGAAATGAAAATAAGTCAAATTTTGAAGCCTGGATAGCGCACAACACTCAACACTTCATTGAGGGTACACTGTCTACCTTGCAACATTTCCATCTAACATTATTGCTGCTTTTTTCATCAAATAAACTCTGACTCTGCTACACACTTGCACACACACACACACACACACACACAGAGAGAGAGCTTTGCCCTGAACTACCTCCAGGGCTCTCTTGTTGTCCAGGCCTCCAAGTTATCTTTGTTGCCATGGAGACCACCTTGAGGACAGAGTTGATGTGTTCCAAGCAGACTCTTTGTTAAGATGGGCCTCAAAGCCTTGGGTGTTGTGAAGGCTGCAGGAGGATTTTAAAAAATACTATCTCACTCCTGTCTTTTTTTCTCTTAGATGCAGCGATATGTTCAGTTGAAAAGCAGAGAAACAAAATGGATGCAGGATTCTGCACTCATCTTAGTGCAACACACTGCAAATGGTTTCATTCACACCAGCTGTTTCTTACAAAAGTGGCTCAAGACATCTGTTTAGCAATTGGTCCAATCCATACCTGGTCCTTAAGGATAATTCTCTATTTGAGCTCTTTTTGAATTTTGATGTGAGATAGTCAATGTATCCTTTAAAAAAAAAAGGAAAAAGCTTCCTTGCAAGGCTTTCTTCTGATCTAGAAGAGACCTACTTACATAAAAAAGAGACTAAGCTTTAAAGATGAAGAGCCTGGAGGCTAAAACACATGAAGAACAGTTGCAGGAATTGGGTATGTCTAGTGTAGTGGAAAGAAAGACTAGAGGTGACATGATAGCAGTCTTGCAATATTTGAGAGGCTGCCACAAAGAAGAGGGGGTCAACCTATTTTCCACAGCACCAGAAAGCAAGACAAGAAACAATGGGCGGAAACTAAGCAAGGAGGGGACCAATCTAGACATAAGGAAAAATTCCCTGACTATGAGAACAATTAATCAATGGAAAAGCTTGCCTTCAGAAGTTGTAGGTGCTCTATCAATGCTAAGACGAGACTGGACAGCCACTTGCCAGAAATGGTATAAAATCTTCTGTTGAGCAGGGGGTTGGACTAGAAGACCTACAAGGTCCCTTCCAACTCTATTATTCTGATACTCTTGGTCATAGTGCTATGTGGATGGAGAAACCATTATGATAGCCAAGGGGAAAGTGATTTGCATGTTTCAGTTTGAGATGCCAGATTTCTTGATATCACGCCCACAGATTTTTATACATTTTAGAACAGGTAGGAAATTTAAAAAAAAAACTGTTATGATAAAAAGTATATTATTTATTATATCAAAAACCCAACGGATTTTGAAAGAATACCTGCTTACTGTTTGACTTCTGAAAGTTTTTTTTGCCAGGTTAGGCAACATTTTCAACATGACTTCAGTTGAAGCTTCTTGTTTCAGTTTCCCTCCGCTTTTATACATCCTAAGCGGTGACATGGTCAGTTGGTTATGTGACTGGCTGGTCGCGTTGTGTGAAGGTTACCAGGTAAGCAAGTGGCCGGTGCTGTCGTTGGTTGGTCATCTGATTGATCCAGCTCCTTATATGTGCTTCTAGGCTATTTCCAGATTGATATGTTTGTTGATCGATCTATTCATTGAATACCAGACTTTAATAAATTTGCATGCATGGCTTTTGGTGGCCAATGATTTTTGTTCTGTTCCAGTTGTGCTGGTGTTGCTTGGTGCCAGCATGGGTCGAGAGCAGAGATCTGACCGCCATTTCTAACATTCCTTTGATGTATGGCAAAGTTTGTTTCTGTGTTGTGGCTGCTTACGTGGTGTGCCACAATTCGGGTGGTGTGCATTGGATTGTTGTTGATTATCTGGATGTTGATTATTGGTATCATTCAGCAGATCTTCAGATTTGTTGATATAATTGGTTTTGTCCATTACCATAGTCCATCTGCCTTTGTCTGCCAATAGGATAACAATATTTTCATCTTGTCTCAGTTTCTTTAATGCCTTTCTCTCCTTCTGGTTGAATGTTTTGTTGTGTTTGCTTCATTGGATGTTGGAGATGATTCTCTGCCTGATGTCCTCTTATGACTGAGGTTGTTTGTTTTCAATATGGATTCAAAGTTGGCTAGGAAATTGACTGGGTCTGCATCCTTGTGGTTGAAATTGAGGTTGTATGTGAGTATGGCCTTTACGTTGTCTGACAGAAGTCTGCTAGATAGATTTTTGATCTATGAATTGGAGTTG